AAAGTGGTCACAATTTTCAGATAAAGTCAACTCAATGCTTTACTCACAGGTCTGGGTAATACAGGGCTGAAAATAACGGCCGGTCAACGGACAATGTCCAGCCTGATCACAGACTTAACCGGTCAAACTCTCATCTTGCCGGTCATTTTGACCGGTCATTTTTGGATACGAATATTTTATTTTCCATATAGTTGTCGCTTAATGCTCCAAGAAACCTAACCTTCTAAGAAAAAGAACACGGCAATAAATCAATTTCATGTCATAAATGATAATGAAACGCAACAAAGCGAAACAATAAGAAACTAAGTTTTGGAGTAACAAAACGTTGAAGGTCGTACTCTACACCTGTACTTTCTGCTTTGCTGTAATCAGTAATGTGACCTGCTTTGGGAATTCAACAGAATTCGCAAAAATCAATAGCAATTCTCAACGCGTCATCCTGTGTTTCTCCGCGAATAAATGTTAGCGCATCGATTAATAGTAATTTCTTTATGTCGAACGTGAATCTCATTTGCGGACTTGATTCTAGAATAGTCTGATAAAAATTTAAACTAATTGGCAAGGAACGTCGTCTATCTTATTTTGTAAACAACTTTGTGCAAATTTCTGTTGACATTTGAGCCCTTTGCAATAAAGTGTTGCGCGATGACCCGAATGAAAGCTCTGCTGTATACTTTTTGACTTCTGATGACAAACACGCTGTTTGTGGAACAGACTTTTCGCCAATGCAAATCAACTTCTTTGCAGAAAATATTAGCGACGATTCTTCTTTGTGGGGGAGACTCTCTATCACGTGCCAGGCAAGGAAAAAGATTGGAAAGGAAAAGGAAAAAGTTTCACCGATGTTCATTTCAGAACATCAACGTAAAACAAATTTGTGCAGATTTTGTTCTTTAATAACCCCAATTTTTTTTTTCATAATTCCTTAAGTTTGTTGAACTGTATGTGTATTCCATTTCCTGAACCTCGAGAGTTTGAAAAGGATTTACCCTTCACTTTTTACCTTTAGAGACTTCAGACACCGGTGTACGATGATACTCAGGACATTAAAACACGCAAAAACCGCGCAAAGGAACTCTACAAGGAGTGAATGCATTTTTCACAAACTAGCTGTCAAAAATGTGATCGTCAATGTAGTAAAAACAATCTATCGCCAGCATAATTCGATATTCCTGGCAAAAAAATAAATAATAGTATTCATTATTTGACCGGCCAGAATCGTAGTTTGTCCGGGCTAAACATATTTGGCCGGTCATCATGACCGGCTACCTGCTGTCCGTTATTTTCAGCCCTGTAATACCTTGTACTTTCTAAGATAATAAATATCCAATTTTACATACAGTTAACTCAATGTTTTGCAACTCTGAGTTACAGTAAAGATGCCATAACCAATTAAATTTTGGCTTATATTGTAAGGGAATATGTGTACATATGTTTACGTACGTTTTGTAATATGTCTTTCTTCCTTGTTTGTGCCCTTGGGACCCCTTGGGCTAATTACAGTGCAGCATTTCCCAAAAAAGTGCGGCAATGCCACAATGCCGCAGTCTGGTAAGAACACTGGTTGTGAAAAGAAAGCCTGAAAAAATTCAGGCTTGCCGGGATTCGAACCCAGACCTCTGCGATACCAGTGCAGCACTCTAACCAGTTGCGCTACCAAGCCAACTTGGTGCTGGTCTTTAAATTTGTTTGCAGTGTACCTGGGAAAGTTGAGGATGAAGTAAGTTTGTTTCAGGTGTAAAGATAGTAGAGTAGGAATTGTGTGAAGACAAAAAATAAGCACAATAAAATTTATGCCAGCCACACCATCTCGATGCCATTGGCCAGTCTGTTAGCCTACGTGAAGACATTCCCTCTCTGCAAATAAGGAAAAAACAGGGGGAGGGTACAACTACATTTGGCTATCAGTTTGTCTATCTGCAAAACAGTTAATTGTGTGATCATGCAAGTTCATTGTAAGCGCAACAAATGCCTTGCAGAAGGATAAAATTTACAGTGGCAGGAGAAGTTATGAAGCAGTGTGCAAAGAAAGTCATGTCCGTTAGGCTGGTGCTAGTGGATTTTGCGTTCGGGCTAGTAAATTTTGTTCTTAACTTGCCCGACAGGCCAGAGAAGTTTTTTTGAGGAAGGAATTGTGAGATCAATTCTGACCATCAAAACGTGTTTGGGACTAGTTGAAATGACGTTTGGGCTAGTAAATGCTAGCTTCAACTTGTCCAAATGGCAAGCTGTAAAACAGACTTTCTTTCCACTCTGTGAAGGATCACCCAATACTAGACAGAGTTGATCTTTCATGTAAAAGATGGCTGTAAACAACAACAATTTCTTCACGAGCAAAAAGCAAAGATGAGCATGTATACAGCAGTCCATCCAGTTTTACCAGAAAACTGATGGGACTTTTTCTGTGCTCAGATGTATGTTAGTACCACATGAATAATCCTAGGGAGGCATCTTACATCAAGTGCTTATATAGTGTCAGTGTGTTTATTTTTTGTATTATTTGTTTGTTTGTTTGTTTAATTTAAAGCAGCCATGATAGTACCTTGGCCAGTAGAGCAAAACGGAAAAGTAGTACCACTGATAGGGAGGAAGGGTAAGCCAAACTACATACTAGAAAAACCAAAAGTCCTTCATCTTGGAGTAAACGTTTCTTGATAGTGAAAAATCTGCTTGCAAAATAATATACTCCAAGATCCTTTGTAATCCAATGCATAACCAGTAAGATTATAAAATGTTATAACCCTAGCATCATGATATATCATACTGAAAAGGAGAAAATGTGCATATTGACTCTACTGGAAATTCATTGCTGTCATCATAATATTATTGTAACATCTTCTGAGACCAAATACTGCTTTGTTAGGCTAGAATTATTGCAACACAATAACAGGCAGCAAACAATCAACAGTTAGTCATTTCCAGAACTAAAGACAAATTTCAAGGCAGCTTATCTGACGGGTTGGAGCACTATAGAAATGTCTTGTAATCTAGGGGTCCCATACTCTAGTCCTGCTCAAACTACCTGCTAAATTTCTCCCTGGCAAAGCTTGTGAATAGCCAATTGATTTGCCTTCAGCTAGCTGGGATTCTCAAAACATTGTTACTTGAAATATTTGTTTTATAGTTATCTGCTTCAACTCATTAGCCATTATGCTATATAGAGGTCTTTTTTCCATGTGGTTTAAAAATCACTTTAGTACTTGCAGTAGTCTAACATGACTCTTTCTTTTGTCTCTTTTAGCCAGGGTGGTCCATCCACTAAACAATTTTTGTCAGAGGAAAGAATGGCTGCGAGGATGCACAATTTAAGGATAAGCAATGACCACAATTATCCTGTAAATATTATGCAAAGGTATTTGGATCAGTTTGTTGCACATCAGCCACCTGGTAGTTCTGAAAGTCCAGTTGATAATGATGACCAAGAGTTTGAAAATAATGATGAGAGCACAGAGGGAAGGTGAGTGGAAAAGAAAATAACAGCTCTGTGAAAAAGAAGAGGAGGAGAAATTATATTCTGTGTCTCAAAGTGAATGTTTATGTTAGCATAATGTGTGTGGTTACATTAGAGCAAAGTTTTCCTATATTTCTAAGGTGGCTTATAGCTTATTTGAAGAACAAAGTGAATCAACCTTCATTCTGTATGCATCTGGCATACAATTTTGAACCTGATACCAGTACTATCATTCTAATAACAGACAGTTCCAAATAGTATGGTAGGCTCAATTACTAGCCGCAGTTCAGGAAAATAAGCCAGCAGTCACCCCCTGCCCCCGAAAGAGAGACCGAACCTGGGAGACAACGGAAATCAAGCCATATTGTGTGGTAGAATCGCAACATAATGAATCCCTGAAGAACAAACAAACAAACAACTCAATATGGTGGATTATACTTTCTGTCCCTGTTAAGTATAGTATTGGATAAGACCAAAATATAATGACTCTTGTCATGAACACATCTTCCCAGTTCTATGTTAATTTGCTGTTGTGGATTCAAAATATTAGTCTTCAAGTAAGTGGAGGGGACCCTAGGATAAGATGGAAGCCCTGCCTTAAAAATAGTATATTTTTCTCAGCCCTGGTAATTCTGTTTTGGCCCAAAAATTAGCGGGCCAATTCCTTCCCTAGATTAACCACTGCTCTGTTATTCTAAGTTCCAATGTAGCAAGACTTAGCATGTTGAAACAGGAACAAAAATTAATATTACCAAATTATAGCCGTGTGTTTCTATTTTTAATTTTCTTTGGATTATACTTTGTGTTTTAACAGGCAAGAAAACCTGCCAGTTTTTGTAATACCCCCTAATGTTAAGGAAGCTTTGAATGAAAGTCAGTCTAATTCAATCCTTCCAGAAGCTATCTTCAAGCAGTTGTAAGTTCAATATCTGTTATTTTAGTTTAGTTTATACCATCCAATCAAATACTTTTTGCATGTACAGTGAACAACTCAACATTTTACCCCATAAAACATGTTTTGGTACAGAAAGGAATTGCATTTTTAAATTGGAGAAGGAAAGACATCTAGTAGCATGTGAATACAGCTGTTTCTCCTAGCTTCCTGCTACTTGGGATGTTTTGCCAGCGGGAACGTCTGCGACTCAGGGACAGAACCTCCTTACTGATGATGTAAAATCCGTCCAGAATGGTCAGGAGCTCTGATTGCTCAACGTAGCAGTTATATTGTTTTACCTATTGTTTAGGAATGACAGACAAAAGGCCACAAGGGTCAAATGTAAACATGATGAATCTATTACAAAACAGTCAATATTTCTAGAATATATTCTTCTTTAGAAAAGCATCAGAGGTTTTGCTGGAGCTCGTTCGCAAAAGATCACAAGACTTTACCATAATCAACCAGGAGAAACATAAGATCAAACAAATTTAAATTTGGAGCCCCATGACTACCAGATTTATTATGTAAACATTGATTTACGTCATCAGTATGGAATTTCTGTTGCTGAGTTGTAGACATTCCTTCTTGCGAAACGTCCCTAGCAGCAGGGAGTAAGGAGAAACGCCTATTCACAGGCTACATATCTAGATATTTCCCCTGAAAATCCTTGTATGAATTTCAAAACCTGTTGTGTCACTTTTTGAGGAGGAAGTCGATCATTTCCCTGTTGGTATTTAATTAGGTATTTTATAATAGGTATTTTAGATGCTAGATATTTTATATTTTTACATTTCTATGTACATATTTCTTTCTTTCTTTCTTAATATTGATTTGTGGAAAACCTGCAAAATAGCTTTAGCTAAGTGTTTCTCCCACGTTAAATAAAGATTATGTTATGTTATGTTATGTTATTATGCATCTGCCTTTGTCACTGTTGCAGTTTCAACTCATCTTTAATGTTGTTGTTTTTTTCCATTTCATCTGTGTTGTGTTGCTGATGCTGTTAGTGTTATCAGCCTCAGCCTTTAGCCTCTGCTGACTTATAACACTTACCTGGACCTGATTATTCCAGAAATCACAAAAACTTCATCCAAGAATTGTTTAAAATTTGGCACCAGAAAGAGAGTCAAAAATGTTTAGATGAGATAGAGAGATGAGATGATGAGATTGTCAAGAAGCCACATCCAGACAGGGGGTTATTTGCAGTTGTTTCCTTGTTGTGACTTCAGTTCATTTGTTTTTTTTTGTTTCTTTCCATTGTCTGCCCTATGTTGCTGATTCAAGGCCATTTTGCTTGTTAACAAGGCCTTTAGAGGGCTGGCTCTTTGTAAGAGCACAGGGGTAGCATCTGAAGGGCTGGATTTTGAAGTAATATATCAAACATGAGATGCAGTGTTTCATCACCAGATGAAACACCGAGAAGAGAGTTGAAAATACGGCGCGCAGCGGAGTATTTTTGACGAACTTCGAGGTGTTTCATCTGGTGATGAAACACTGTGTCGAATGTTTGATATTTCTTCTCAAACAAAATCATTTTTGAAGGAGAAATTAAGGATGCAAATACTAAGCAGTGTTTCATCCGATTTCCAAACACTCATTAAACATTAATTTCCTTTGTATTTTCTTAATGAATTATTAATGAGTTTGAGAAATATTGTTATTGCGTTCAATTTACAGTATTGATGATAGATTTATTACATATGCTTCTTTTTTCCTTTTTATGATAATCTTAGAAGCAAGCCATGCCTAGCAGTCATTCCCTGGAAAAGTCCAGAAGACAGGTTGAACTTGTCATCAGAGGACAAACCAGATGATCAGGTAAAGCCCCTCACCCCCCTCCCACCCCCCCCCAAAAAAAAAAAAAATTCAGGACATTATTCTTGTGACACCACAAAAATATATCTTAAATGCTCAAGGAGCATACAACCATTCTGCAGATGTACATACAGGGCTGCCAATAAGGAGCGGGGACCAGGGATTTCCCATGGCCGTTTAAAGCATGACCCCTGTCTACTTATTCCCAGCTGTTCAATTTCCCATCTGCCAATTGGATATACCTGGCAACTTGAAATCACAGCAGCAGCCCTGAATATACATATATTTTTTACCTCTATCACTCACAAATTTGTTTGACTTTGCTACAAAGGCTAAGGCTATGAATAAATGCATGATAAGGTAATAAAAATCAACAATAATAATTCAAAGTGAAAATGAATGTTCATGCAGTCAAAATCTAAAATACAAAAATATTCTTATCTACTTAGAATTTTTCTTCTTGCTAAACAATGACTGTCTGTGCAACGTGAACTTTTTTACTACTTGAACACAGTTTTGAGAAACTATCCATTTCTGTGATCTTTCTATAGTTACATTCACGACTTTCTTATCTTCCAGAAACTTAGCAAGTTTCTTCTGTATGTTAATGGAGTATGCACCTAGGAAATCAAATACAACTTCTCTACTGCTAACTTTATGTCCTGGATATAAACTCTTCACTCCTAATTTTAAATCTGCATATTTGTCCCTTTTATTATCATTATCATTATCATTATTTTTATTTATCATCATTGTCAAAAGCAAATACAGTTACTGGTATGTATGTTCTCTTCATATGTACCAAAAAATTCTTCCAAACATCTAATGCTTAGCTCAAATCCAGAATAGAGGTAAACAAGTCCATTTCTTAACCTCGGTAGAAACTTTGAAGTTTCTTGTGAGTGACTTAAAAGAGCGAAGACAGCTATTTTACTTGTAAAGAGTACATTTTTCTGGCATTGCCTCGGTGAGAGTTTTGTCATTATTTTTAGGACCAGAGAGGAAACAGACTTAGCAGCAGCAATAGCAGTAGCAGTACTAATTCGTGTACCAGTCTTGTCATGGAGAGCTGCCCTGAAGCAGAAAGGTTTGAAGACAAAGGGTAGGTTACTACAACCCATAATCTAAACAAACCTACAAATGTTCAAGAATGAAAAAATAAATGACATTTTGAGGAGTTTAGTTCAGACCTCTTTTGAGTTTGAATTATATGACTTTAATAAACTTAAAAGACATTTTGAAAGTCAGTTTTATGTTTATCTCCAGACCACTGAATTTTTTTTTTCACTTTTCAAATTAAAGGATCAATTAGAATGCCTTTGATAAACTTAAATTTTTAAATGATGTTCTTTGCCAAAAAAAATATGTTAATTTTCTAAAATGTCTTGTATTTGCTGGAAATGTATTTTACATAACTTTGAGCTCCTAATGCTTGCCTCTACTGAAATTCACCATTAAATAATAATAATAATAGTTAACATTATTTTCTTTTCTGTCACCATCCTAGATTAATTTTCTCAGTGCGTTTTCATAAATGATGGTAACTTTTTAATTTTGTTTTGTTTTTACTGACAGTGTTCACCATGTTGAGATTGTTGGTGAATGTAGCATGTTTAGTTTGGAAGATGATGATATGGAGCCATGAGAAGACTGTGTCAGTTTTTTAAGACTCAACTGTCAAATTATGGAACCTGTTTGAATTGTATATTTGTTGTAAATTCCAGCAAAAAAATAAAAAATAAAATTTCTTCATACCATTATGACTTCAGTTGTGTCTACGGAAATGTTGTCAACTTCAATGCTGACCTTAAGTTTTTAATGTTTCTTTTGTTGTTGTTGTTTTTTTCTTTTTGAGGGGTGCATAAATTTGAAACTGTTTTGTTGAATTACTAATGTAAAACTCACAAAACCATGGGATGTTTTTGTGTGGAGAAGAAAAGGCTAATAAACAGTGGGAAATCTAAACCACGAATGGCAACAGTAGCCAGCTTGTGGTTTTGACTTTTGCTTGCATGTGTTGAACCTTACTGCAACAAATGGTAAGCGTCCTCTAAAAAAGTGCACCATCCATGACCACCAAAGAAATGAATGCCCCTTGTGAGGAAATAGTAAGCCCAGAATCACTTTTCTTTTGTTACTCCTTGTTTAATTTTCAACATTTCAAATTCAAAGTAGACAGACTGCAAATTATAGTAGTTGTTTAATTTTCAACATGACATATACCAGAGCTAGAACAATGTTGACCATGTTGTATCCATGTGTCAGTTCCAGATCTCTCCTGTTCTTCCTTGAAATGTTTGCCCAAATAAACTCAGTAAAATAATGTGGGCAACTTGTGTTAAGTCAAAATGAAACCTTTACTACCTTTTTTAATAGATCACTGGTACAATGTGGGAGGGAGAATAGAAAGGCCACATAATGTCTTGGCTTATTAAACACGACACTATGTTAGACTGAAGACAGGGAAAACTGCAAAGTAATAAGCAAAAACAGACAACACTGTCAACAAAGCAGTGAGCATGTTGCTTTTTTAATCCCCAAAATGATATTCACCTTATAAAAGAAGTGAAAACAAGTTGTTAGGTTGCATCTTGAATGATCACTGATTTACTTTATTTTATTACCACTCTTGTTGATGATAAAAGATATAAAAAAATATATTGAAAGGCAGACTAGGCTGACCAGTGGGGGAGTTGGTGTTTCAAAATTAACGTTTTTTTTAACTTGTGTTCTTTAAGCATCTGGGTGCAGCTGAAACATGGGTGATAACCTTCTCATTAGCAACCAGCTCTCATAAGTGACCACCTCCTTATAAAACCAAAATATTCTCAGTCAAAGGTTTATAGTAGGAACCTCTTGTAAGAGACTGTAATGACCTCTGGGGGGACAGTTTCCAAATCTCATTGTCTTTAACTCCTGGGAAGCAACACTTGACCTACGTCCTCGGAGACCCAGGGGCAGTCAGCTGGGTGGGGAAAAAAGGTAGAAAACTTTTTCAGCTGACTGACTGTCCCTGGGTCTGTGAGGAAGCTTGACTTATGGTCTGATTTCTTAGTTCACTGCAAAACTGCATGCAATACATGTTTTGTGAAAACGTATATATGTTGAGACAAGCGACCACTGCATCTTCAGATTTTGCGTGACCCCTTATAAAGGGAAGTTCAATATTGCAGTTAATTACACTTTGATCAGAACTTGCACTTGAAACATGAGTGAGTGTTATTGATCGTACCAAATTAAATAATTAAAGCTTCTTTTACTGTTGCATGGCTGCTTGTGCTTTCAACTCTTTCAAACGGCTGGAGATCGGAATTCTTTCGCGGCTTGTTTGAGTTGACCCTAAACTAGAGCTTGAACCCAAATGCGAAGACTGCAATGTGTCAAAGCTACTAGTAGCCATCGAAGAACTTGAGGAACTCAACTTCGTCGTGGAATGCGATGGCGTGTCGCTGGGATATCCTTTAGTTGCAGCAATTTTCTTCAAAATACTAACCAAGGAAGTCGGAGAAACGTTAAGCTTTATCAAATCCAACAGTATCTTGAATACATCGGGATCCAGGGTTACCCCGCTCAAGTTGCACAACTCGAGAAGTTCTTCGTCCAGAGTCTTAGAGTTTGTTCGTGTCACTGTCACTTTATAAATGTCCGGCGTTGATTTGGATCTTGACATGTTTATAAGGACGGGTGAACTATTATAGAACGAGTCTTTCGCCTCTTCTTGTTATATTAGCCCTCGATAAGCGGAAGTAGATAAAGAATTCAAGAATTCATCACTCCGAAGGAAGACGCCATTTTTGAAAACGACATTTGTGTCCAGTCTTCCTCCAAAAAATAATGCAAACACGTACAGTACTTGATGTACGCCTATTGGTCGTGACCAAAGAAGTGTGGCCAAAAGAAAAGGCGAAGCGGTTAAGGTGGCTCGACTGGATTTTTTAGGGGAAATACCTCCCAATTTTGAGCATTAGCTACGTCGGCATGAGTAATGATATGGGAAGACGGTTACCACAGCTGTATTCTATAAAGATGCAAATTTCTCATGATCTGGGTTTTATTGCAATCGGAGTCGCCATGTTGTAAGATAGGAAGGTAGGGAGGTCAAACTGCACGACATTTCATTTCCAGCGATAAATAAATTAGTTACAAAGCCAAGAATCAAACCTGACCATGTCTCTAAGCACTTCTACATTTCAATGGGCCTTTAATATATGTGATGAGTGGTGAAAGAAGTCGAGAAAAAGTCTGGAAAAAATTTAAAGGCGAGGAAAAAAGTCGAGAAAGGAAAAATCGAGCACACAATTTTCATGGCACTTGCTGGGCTCCGTAGTTTTCAGTTTTGCCGTGGGTTCCATAAATACTTGGTCTACTGAACGATGAACAAGGTGCACCTTCCGCATGCCAAAAGATTAAAATAAAACTTTGTCAATGTAAAGTAAACTCTTCTGACATCAAGACGACCTAATGACACAAAGGACCCTTAAGCTCACCTGAGAAGGAACTGCGTGAGTCAGGCAGGTTAACCCCCAGGCAGCCGGGTTAACCCCTCTCTCTAAATTTACAGTGAGACCTTATTTGGGAGAAGTCTAGCCTATCTGATCCGTAAGTTCTCACACAGTGAATCAACGTCTCTGTAGACTCGTCAGAGAAAAGATTTAGTCTTGACTGAACAAAGCTAACATGTTCCAACTTTTTTGGGGGGGGGGGGGGATCTTGAGAAAAAGACCTGTTGCCATCGTTATTTGTTTGTTTATTCGTCGTTTTTCAATCCCTCTTGATCGCTTTATTGTTTAATGGAGAAGACGCCATAAGACGGGGTGGGGTTGGTACGTAAACACCTAACTACCGCACAACCTTACTAATTAACTGCCAAAATGTCCCTAAAAATACCACACGAAAAAAAATGTTACCAGACAATACTCATATTAAACCGCCTCCTGTTTGTCTATGCGATGTTGCTAACAATAACAAAAACACAGCTCTACGGTGGTCACTGGCGGTTTAACAGCTCCTGGCTCTGCTTTTGTTAAAGCCGTATAAAAATCTTCGAGTCGCTTTATAAATTAGTACAGAGTCCTTTTCTAATTAGACACGTTTTCTCCGACTTTCCTCACATAAGGGACCGGTCATTATTCATCGCCTGGGGGGGGTCGGAGTATTTAGGGGGGGATCACATGGTTTTTTGAAGACCTTTAGGGGGGATCAGCCGTAATTGACAAGCATAATGGGGGGGATCAGACGAAAAAAAAAGGAATTTTAGGTCGCGCCGGGACCCCGGGTGAGTGCATTTGTAAATACTTTGGTAGGATTTGCCGCTAGGACTCTAAACCCCCAACCATATATTCAAGACCACGTTCAGTTGTATTTTGTATTACATAAACTTTATTCTAGCCCAGACACAAACCCAAACCCTTTTACAGACCCTCCATTTTGTAAAAAAAGTATCAAGCGAGTCCGCTGATGAATTATTCTTTTTCAATTCTGTTTACCTCGACAACTATCGGGGTGCATCAGAACGAAACAAAGAGCAAGCGCCCGGTGCAGCATACTTCCGAAAGATCGAATCGTTTATGGAAGACCACTATATTCGTGGAGAACTTTTTATGGAATTCTGTCGTGATGCCTGTAAAGAGTCAAGAGAAGAAAGTTCCAATCTCTGTTCCTGGTGTTCTAACAATAGATGGGTCGGTCCAGAAACGGAAAGAATTCCGCAACCTGTACCAGACTCAAACAATCCTGGACATTTCATGGATATCTATCAGACGGAATCGACGGGCAGGACACCAGATGATTACCTTCCAAGAAAATGTATTAAATATCTGTACGAGGAACATTCTGACAATATCAGAAACGATCAGGATACCATGAAGAGCTTCTGCTCAAAATATAATGTGGAAGAGAAGCACGTCATTGCATATGTTAATCATTTGAAGGATATTGAGATCCGAAAGGACATGAGAACAAGAGCAGCTGAGGAGCGAAGAAGGCAAGAGGCCGAACGAACGTACAAGGACTTTCAATGGGATAACCTCATCGAGGGTGGCAAAGTTGAAAAGTTGCGGGTAAGAGAACTAGACCTGTATCTCAACAAGCATGGTTTGACGACTGTGGGTCGGAACTTGACAAAGTTAAGGCCATTCGATGTCACTATTACCGACAGAATAAAGAGACTGTGATAACAGAAGAACTGTCGAGTGATGAAGATGACGTGGAATCCGAGGATGAAGAATCCGAAAGTGAAGAGGCAGAGAGCGACGATGACTATGTTTTCGTGGATTTGGATGAACAGCCTGAGATTGGCACTTCCGCGAAAATTCAGTTCGTATCTGACGAGCAAATATCTATCGTTGTTGTTCAAGGTCCATGAGACGTAAGTACCACTATTAAAGATATCACTTGCATATTCAAAAAGTTATTTGGCGGTGGCTGGGAGAAAGGGGGGGATCATGAAACTTTCCACTACCAATAAGGGGGGATCTTTAAAAAACTAGATACTCTACGGGGGGATCAGGTAAATGCTCCGATGTGACAACAAAAATACTCCGACCCCCCCCAGGCGATAAATAATGACCGGTCCCTAACAGGATCATTGATTTACTTACACAGATATTTACTGGGGTTGACGCCCAACTACGGATCTTTTCTTAGAATCTTGGTAGTATTTATCCAAAAAAGGTAGCTAAAGAAAATGCTAAATAGTTGGTTGGTGTTAATTTCTTTGACATAAGCTATGAACATTTACAATACAGATGATATTTCCGAATCCATTCCAGTTACAATATCTTGAAAAAGCGTAGCTATAGCGTAAACAATAGAATAGGCTTGCTCACGACGAGTCGGCTTATTTGAACGACCAGGGGGTGCGAAAACGGAGCGGAAACAGAGCATGACAGAGAGAGAGAAGCACGAGCAAGTCGACTGTTTTCCCTCCTGACCGATGACTCAAGCAAAACGGACTTTTAGAAAGTGTACCGACCTGTACCCAAATGAAGTACACATATATTTTTTTGTAATGATGACTTACGACTAAAATACCGATTTTTGCTTCCCTTTTCTCTCTACGGATATATTTTTCATGTATTCCGCTGAGCTTTTTGTCCAGTTTTTCGATCGTTAGAGCAGATTTTCAAAATAGAGCGGCTTATGGTGTATCGCACGTTTTGTATATTTTCTTCTCCAATGCTTTAGCCTACGTGGCAGACGTAGATCGACGTAATCTAACCCGGATAAATGTAGTAACCATAGGTTTAATTCATATGTGTCACGGGCTACACTGATTCTTCTGACTCAGATGAAATTGCAAAGCTTTACCTGTTTGGTATGCCCCTGGATACTTTCGACTTATGTTCTTGTACATGTTATTAAGAGTTTTTTTGGTTAGCTGGAACACCTCCTGCAGAGTGGGAGAAAGGGACTGCCCCTTCTCTCTTGTTCTCTCTTCCATCGACTTTCTTTTTATTTGACCTGCTTTGCCTCTGTGATTTATTCAGGCTATAAGCAAAAAGAAAAAAAGAAAAAAGTTCTTGGCTTGACTAAGAGATGTCGACAAATCCCATTTATTTAAAAAAAAAAAATGTCCTTTAATAGGGTATAATGAGTCATCAACGAACTGAAAGAAAAAAACACTTCACCGAAAAAGGAAGTACGTAAAAGATCTGTTTCGTTATATTAGCCTTCCCCATACAGTAAAAAGATAAAAACAAAACACCTCTTCGCTGGCAAATTTAAACAGTAGCTGGTCAGTCAAATACGTAACAATCGAAATTGTCGGACGTTTTCTTTTGATAAAAATCAATACCAATATTTGTGATTTGCGCCAATAGTTTGCAAGGGTGAAGCTATGCTAATTATAGCTTGGGTGTCACCACTAATTGTCCAATACAGGCCTTTTACTGTTTATTTTGCTTGCTAATTAAATGCAGGTAACGCAAGACAATTGAAGAACCATTGAAAGCAAAAAATTCTGCTTGGCCTGCCTTAAATGCAAGCTGACTTTCTACTACGCAACATGGTATTGGAACAGCTCTCTTAAAAGACGAAACACGAACCAAAACAGGCTTGTCTTTGGTCCTTTTGATATATAGACGGAAACTTAATAGAGTTGTTTGACTGAGTTAGTAACATCTCTCTCGGCATTCCCTGATCTTGTTCCTGTTTTGGTTCCACCATCTGATCGACGTAAAGATCATTTCACTGTCCGAAATGTCCGCAAAAAGTACAATTTTGTACCTTCGTATCGGAGAGGGAAAGAACCTTCCAAGGAAAGATATGTGAGTCCAAACTTTTTTTTACTCAACTGTATATTCAATGGTTAACTATTAAACTTTTAAGTGAATCGTGTAACATGGAGCGCGATTATAGACATTATACGTAATGAACACTGAACGGACTCGATGTTTTTATTCACGAAAAAACAATGTTGTTTCCGTTTTATTTATAGCTCTGGAAAGAGTGATCCGTATTGCATCGTGAAGGTAGACAACGACGTTGTAGCAAGGTAAGTGAACTTTGTCTGTGACTCAGTCTAAACTGGTTCACTTTCAGAAAACAACTACGATGAGCAAATTTACAGAACAGAAAAAATGAAACGAAAAGGAAAACCAAAGTATCTCAAAAAAGATGAAATTAATGACGCAGAGTGGATATTTTTATAACCTCGCACAGTTTTATCAATTCAACTTTTACAATATAGTATTTACCCCCTGATAATGAGTTAGCTTCCACTGGAATGCCGCAATGCGCAAATTAAACAAGAAGTGATGAAAAATCAATAAACCGAACAAAGAAAACAGTCTAAATCGCTGCGTCGACAATAGTTCTGTAAATTTCAGTCTGAAAGTACGTATTAAAATCTATATATTTAACCCTCTTTTGACGATCAATATAGGCGGAACCAAGAGGCAACTGCTGTATTAAACAATCAGGTCAGGATGTGAAAAGGCACGAATAGAGGAGTATCGTTGCTGTAATTAAAAGATCACACATCGCAGCTTTGTTTCCCTCGCGTGTGATTTACACTAGCAACCGACAATGCTTAATCAGCTCAATTTTATTACAAGGGTACAAGATAAGCAGCCAAAACATCAGACAATCATTGCGACCGAGAGGACGTTGTTGGTGCTATGTTACGTTAGTGGCGCTAGATACTTTTGTCAGTAGAAAAGTATAAAAATAATTTTGCCCTTAAGGGACAAAAGGTATTGATTAAGTGAACAATTACATGTATGAGTTCAAATGCAAATGACTATCTAAAAAACTAAAATAAAAGGATATACCGGTATTTATAAAGTGATTTTAACTGGTTCTTCAGAGTTTACAAAACATCGATCGATCACGATGAAAGCTGAATTACAAAAAACCGACCGGATGTTTTAGCATCAAACAGTCGAACACAAAGTTAAAACACTGACAGCAAAACACAGACGACTACACACAGAAAAGGGGGTCAATAGTCTTAGAATATCCGGTTCCTTTAAAATTGTATTACTTTTTATTTTTAAGCATACCGTAAAATACTATCAGTACTAATTTGGCAGCGGAATGGCAAAAGCATGTTGTTTCCGCCGTCTCTGTTTTGCCGGCAGGCTGTCACGGTTTAGTTTGAAAACTCGCGAACATCATGTAGTTCAGTTATTAACGTGTTATTTTTAAGTTTTTAAAGTAAAAAACTAGTGCAAGACTATATCATTTCTTCCAAAAAAGTAAAGTCTCTGTCAGTTGAAAGAAAAATTAGGTGCTGACTCAAATTTAGATCATGATTCTGAGTACATTCGGATGGAAATATGTTTTGGTTTTGTGTCCCGTATATAGTATCTACATTATATACATTGCGTAGCTGGGCCCAGTTGTTCAAAAACTGGGTAACATTGATCACCAGATAAATCACTATTAGTAGATAAGTATTGGGGAAACCATACACGTTAGCCAGTAGTAGATAGGGATTTACCTAGTGGATAGCGTTTTCCTTCTTTTGAAAAACAGGCCGAGCCTGAAGGATAGGTAAAATGTGGTGTTTATTTGTGGTTGAAGTTACAACTTAGCTCGTTGAAGAGGCCTGTCCTGTGAGGTGTTTACTCTCTTCCAGAACTGCCACAGTATGGAGGGATTTGGAGCCATTTTGGGGCGAAGAATACACAATGTTTCTTCCAGCTGGTTTTACAAACTTGTCAGTCTACGTTTATGACGAGGACACCATCGGGTAAGGAAGACAGAATTCGGATTAAAGTAAAACTCTTTGGAAATCTCCGCACAGCCGTTATCTCTCGAACCACCACCATGAATTCGTGTCCCGGCATGAATACGAAAATTGCAGAGGAAATCATTCTCTCTTCAAGTAGAAAGATAAATTCACCAGCAAATGACACGGGATATTCCTAAAAATACACCATTTCAGTCCACTTTTTTTCTGCAAGTTTTACACTTCGTGAATAAAATATTACCAAGTTCCCAGCAAACGGTTTGTGAGGTTGGCATCTAAATTCTTTTTTTTTCTAATTTTAATTTAAGGGCCTGCAGGTTGTTTTTTATCGCAAATATTAAACAGTGACAACAGTCCACAATGCATTGAGTCTGGGCTTTAACTATGAGACCAGAGAACTTGCAGTTATAAAACTATAACATTGCGTAAAATTCCAAACTGTTAAGCTAGGAAACTTACATGTTGCTTTTCCGGTCTCTCCCTGCAGAGTTGATGATCTCATCGGGCGGGTCACGTTTGACCGCGATATGTTAACAAACAGCGGTTCTGGGGCAAAGGGCTTGGACAAATGGTTTCCACTGTCCCCTGTTTTTTACTCACACCATTTCTCAGATATTCAAGGAGATATCAGGATCGAGACAACGCTTTTTGAGAAGGTGAAAAGAACATCTCGTTCATTGTCATGTGTATCCAATCCCTTAAAGACTAATGGTTTGCATTACTACATTAGAACAAAGGGAATAAGTTCCACCGCCTTCTCCCTGCTCTTAACACCTCTAGGTCGACTCTAAGAAACACACTGAAAGTTAGGCCCGTTTTCAAGACGAACAGATTCCTTTTTATGTCCAACGCCCTCAAAGCTTAAACTGTATTCCCTATCTATAGTTTTAGAAGTTTCGATTGCTTTTATCATGTTCGATTTCAATTTTCTTTTTTTATTTTTTGACAAATCACAATTTTACTGTAATGTATTCATGTATTGTTTCTATTATTCGTTTCTTTCATTTTTCTTTATAAACTGGCTTATTAGTAGTAGTATTTTAGGAATAAACCCTTTGGTTTGGAACGATCATGTAGTCTTCTATAACCATATGTAGTTCGAAGCCGGAGGGCGGCGAGGAAAATTAAAAAAACTAAAAATTCAAGAAAAAAAGCAAAAAGTTACGCTACTGAATAGAAGTTTCAGTGATTCTTCTCGTAATGCTGCAATGAAAGGTGTTTCTAGATGTGAGTTTCAGTGCATGGATTCCATCATCAACTTGTCTTCCACTTTTTTAAAATGAAAGCTACCAGACAGTACTTAATGTACGTTTGGGATACCAAACGTTACCGGGACTTGCCCGTTTTAGGAGAGTCTTGAGAACAATCTTAACTGTCTTGTTATTATTTACCAGTAGTTTATTCAACAATCACACTGGTTTAAATTTCGTTGTTTTCTACTGTTTTTGCCAGGGAGAGGTAAATAAAATTAGGGTTAAAGTGCTGGAAGTGAGGTAAGTTTTTTGCTGATAAATACGAACAACGAGGCCCAGAGGCCATAAGTACATGAAGAGTAAGTCAATTAATGACTTAGATTTCTTATCCAATGATTTGAGATACCGCCGGTGTTCGTCTTATAGATGTGTCCGCAAAAAGCGTCAGCACCCAGTAACGGGAGTCGATTCTTTTGAGGAACAAGGGTGGTGTAGTGGTTAAAGCACTCGCCTTCCACCAAAGTCGGTTCAGGGTTCAAATATGGCGTCGACGCTATATGTCGGAGGGTTGAGTTTATTGTTGATTCTCTCCCTTGCTTTGAGAGGTTTTTCTCCCAGTCAGTACACAGGTTTTCCTCTCTTCTCAAAAACCAACACGTCCAAATTTTATTTGGATTTAGAACACACGGACATGTTTAAACGAGTTCTTAAGAACCCCTCAGTGTTTCGTGGGTGAACAAATTATATTTTCCCTAGGGAGGTGTTACTCTTTAGTCTATCGAATAACCCTTAAAAATAATTTAACAGCCACAGCCAGAGGCCTTTAACACGGTCCCTAATCGGGCTCACGTTTAACTTTTCATAATCAAGTTTTAACTTATGTGTTCTAAGGGATCTTCCGGACAAAGTTCGCAGCTGTATGGAGCCAATAGTTAAGCTTTCCCTTGGAGATAGTAGCACTTGTCATCTGCGACAATCACTGAGGGAGGCCCTCGTCAAACAACCTGAGGTATGCATTTCGCTTTTCGTCTTTTTTTTTTCCATTTACTAACAATGAGGTACTCTTAAAGACTGAAGCACTGCTCGGGTTCTTTGTAGTCAAACGTGTAAATAGCTTAGTTAGTTTGGCTACTCAGTATTCTACGTACATGCATGGGACTCTCGCCGTCGTAAATTGTCGTGTCCTGAACCCAGTTAAAACTATTCACAAACTAAATGATTGGTTTTACCAATAAAAGGCACCGTTTCGTATCAGAGCAGCTTGAAGTAAGAAATGCTGTGTTGCGTGTCATAGCTTCACGGGTGGTGACTGTGATATCTCGAGCTAAAACATGAGCCTCTCTATGAGTACCTGGGGACGTCGTTTTTGTCGAGCGTTTTCCATCAAATTGGCCATTTTTCAACAAAACCGTCGCATACCAAGAACTGATTTGCGTTTTCTACCAGCGAGCTCCAGCAATCACAATTACAAAGACGGAAATGAGAACACTGAGATTAGCCTGCGTAGCAGGCGCTTGGAGGTAGTGGGCACAAGAAAAAACGGGCGCACGAAAAGGAGACACGCGAGGGGAGAGGGGTCCCTCACCCCTCACGTGTCTCCCTCGCGCGCGCCCGTTCTCTCTTTCGCCCACTACTTCCAAGCGCCTGCTACGCAGGCTACACTGAGATCTATGAGCACAAAAAATACTTTGAACTTGAACAACACATTTCAAGTGGTGCATTTGTTTTCAGTTTCTTTGCCGTCATATCGTACGACTAAAGGTTGACAAATTTGATTGGAATGGGAATGGGTTAATCGGTTTCCGATCTCCAACACCGTCTTTTCGTCGGAAAGACCCCGGGGGGTACTTTAGGAATTTCTGGGTGGGGATGTGCCGCTGGGACCCTGGAACCCTTAACCTATACCAGAGCTAGTTCAGCTGAATTTTGCTACCCTATACTAGAGTAAACTCCCCAAATCCCCCTATCCTAGAGTAGCTGTTTCCCTTGTCTAGATAAAATCTTCAACCAACTGATCAGTTTCCTGAAAAATGATACCCTATTCTAGACCCAAACGCTTTGATTTATATACCCTATCCAAGAGTAAACTGCCTGAAAACCATACCCTTTACAGCGGCACATACCTATATAGCCCATATATGGCAGTACCCCCCCCCCCCCGGGGGGAAAGACCCATACTCAAACATCGGTTCAATCTTTTGGTCAGGGTAACAAAAAGATCTGGATCCCTAGCAAACAAAAGTACCTGGAATTTGACATCAAGGAGCCATTACAGGACTTGAAGCTCACGGCCGAGGTAAAAATTGAATCAGATGCACTATGGTGCTCCGGAAAGGTAAGAAACTACGGACTAATGAAACGAACAAAATTTTAAAAATATGATTATTATGAACAAACAACGATTGGTCACAAGATGCTTATAAAAAATACACATATACGAGTCCTAACAGAGCTCAACATTGATTTCCTCTTCAAAGCCATGATTTTAATTCTTAACAGGACAGAGATAATGAAGATTTAAAGGAAATTGCTGTAAAAGGATGAGTTCACTTGACATTTATATGTTCCCAACTACTCCGATAAAGACTGAGGTTATAAGGACATGCATTATTAAGAAAAATAAATTATTTATTATATTGGAATTAAAGGGTTAAGATCCACCATTCATTCTCATCCGGGCACTCCAATGGCTCAGGAGTTATCATGATGCATTATAAGGTGGAACTTCATTTTAAGAGTTGAGTTGTTTTTTGTAACCCTTATATCCTCTTAACACTATTTCCCTACATGCGGTGACCTGAGAAAACAGCCGACATTTCCGACGCCATCACCACTAGTTTCCCTTCGAAATGACGTCTGAGAAACGAGCGCAGAATGAATTCCATACTGATGACGAGTCACCACCCAGATCTGGGTGGTACTTATGATTGGTTAAAAATTTGCTTCATCCAATCAGAGTTACTTCCCACAGGCGAGAGGTGATGCATCATCGGCATGGATTTTCTGCGTTTTCTGCGTTCCTCCAGTGGTGGCGTCAAGAAGTGCTGGCCGTTTTCTCAGGCTACATGACCGGAAGATAAAGATAATTCGGTATAATTCATAGTCTGAGTTTCTGTTTTCCCTTTCAGGCCACCTTCTTTCTACCCAAGCTTAAAGTTGGCCTCAGTAGAGACGCCTGGTACAAGTTGTTACCGCTGGCTCAAACAAAAGAACAGAAAACGTGAGTTAAGTCAACTGGGGGGTCAAGTGACTTGTTCTCCGGTTCCTCTCAGTTTCCAAACTACCGGTGATCATTGGATAACAGAGGATGAGTTAAAGTTTCTACACAAAGATGTCGACCTGCATAACAGACGCAAACTAAGTGGTGGGCGGGGGGGGGGAGAAAGCAAAAAACAACCTTATCACCTCCCGGCAAGAAACATAAAATCAAATCTTTGATATTTTCATTTGTAAAAAGGTTGGAAAGTTAGTGAGTTACAGCCTTTACTTTATAGGCGATTGTTGTCAGGATGGAACAGTTAGAGAGGTTGAAGACATATTGAATCGAAAAAAAGCTAATTGTTGTCCTCTCTTTTCATTCCATTTCTTTTCCTCCCTTTTTTCCTTCGCGTCCTGGTTGATTGATGACGTTACCTACTTTTGATGAAATTTCGCAGATGTTGACAGCATAGTCTTGGTTTTAATGTAATATCTTTTGAGATTACTCTGAGATTCAACTACTTCACTAATCGTGAATTTATTTTCCTCCCCTCCGATAGAGAAAATCTTGGCAGTATCAGGATGAAAGTCCGTCTCACACAGGAGCGTATTTTGCCCCAAAAATGTTACCAGCCTTTGACGGAGATTCTTGTCAATTGTACAAACGACCCAGAGAGCCTGGACCCTACTGTGCTGAGCTTAACAGACCAGCTTACCACCGCTGACCTTTCAACACTTGCCCACCAGATGGTGCGGCTGTTTATTGGTCAAGACTTGGTGATACCGTTTCTGGATTACGTAACACTTCTGGAGATAAGAAAGACAAGTAAGGAAAATCAAAAAGTATTCTTATATTGCTTACTCTGTCTTTACATCTATCATGATACGAGTCACGGCACCAGAAAGAACCATGCAAACGAAAAAAAAGTAGAAAAGATAAACAATCACACGTCTCGAAGGAATGGACACACTAAAGGATGTCATATAAAGTGAAGCCATAGTTAGTTAAGAATCTACTGGATGGACGCCATGATAGTTTGAAAATGTGCACTGCCGCTATCACGTGACAAGGCAAAAATCAAAACAAAGACATCGGTCATTGAAGCTCGCCGACTTTCATAACCAGTCCCCTCTACTAACTATGGTAAAGCTAATAGTGAACTTGCACAGCACAATAGAAACACTGGTAGAATGCATTGCTTGACTGGTCGCCGACAGTTTCCGAATAGAACGGTCAAAGGTTACAATTTCGATCAGGAATTATTTTAATGCAGGTGTTCTTACTTTCTTTACAGGTAATCCAAGGACTTTGTTTAGAGGTAACAGTTTGGCAGCGAAATGCATGGAACAATTCATGAAGGTATAACTGTAAATATATATACAATAAGCGCTCCTTTTTGACCCACAATTTTAGCAAAGCTGGCTTTGGCTTCATTTCTTTGTGCGTGCGCCCTACTAAGACGCTTCTAGCTAAAAAAAAAAAGGGACTGAGCCACTGGCTGCTGTTCAGTGGCATTTTGTTGTATCTCTGAGGCAAGTGAAATCCAGTGACTATCACTGTTTCCAGGACATACGACATAGAAATTATCGGTACCTCACACACTGTAAACCAGTAACATCTTTAATTAAGAAGCTCGACGAGATTGGTTTAATAAACCGATCAATGAATATTTCACGCTGCTGAGGAATGGTTGCTCGGATGGGGAAGAGCTCGATTTCCAGCTGGTTGGGCTAGGGAATATAATTATGCTCCTCCCAAACTAGAAAAGTGAAAAAAGGGATTTTATAGTCTTAAGGGATCACTACTCTTTCTCTAAACCTCCTAACATTCGTAAATAAAGGTGCACGATTTACCCACGTGCACCCCATTGGCCACTGAACCTTACTTGCGGATTGCGTCTCAAAACTGAGCGGAAATGAAAAGGCGCAACAAGCCAAGCGTCCTTGACATAGAGTGAACGAGATACATTAGATTATTTCTTTTCCACGGGCATCACAAGGAAAATAGCTGAACTCTTAGTGCAGATTATACAGGATCCGCCTCACTATCAAGGCGAGAATAAATAAATTGCGAAATGCAACAAGATTTGGCAAATTTTTCGAATTCTGTACTCATTTTGCACCAGCATTAATGACTCAAAATTCGTTTCCTTTTTGGAAACCCTTGTGGCCGCACATACAGACATCGAGCTCAGTTTCGGGGAATTCTTCCGGAATTTTAGTGACAGTTCTTTTTTCTCGTTAGATTGTAGGCATTCCGTACCTTTCAGATACTCTCAAGCCAGTGATCGACAAGATTTTCGAGGAGCGTAAATACTGTGAGCTGGATCCAAGTAAAGCGGAGCGAAAATCAAGCGCTTTTAGGTAGGCTAAGTGCAGTTAATAAACCCCCAAAAAAGCTATTCTTGTAAATGCCATAGAAAATAAATAATAAATCAGATAAAAAAGACTTTTTGCTCATCCCTTGACTTTTGCTCTTTTCATTGAATGCACTTGCGGAAAGTTTTCAAACATTTTGAACAAAGCTGAGATTTAGTCTACCTTTTGTGGTTGAAAAATATTTAGGAAACTTGAGAGGATTGTAAAAATGATTTGGAAACGATTGATGAGGAAATGCACTTGCTCTCTTTTGTTCCTTATTCGGCAAGTGGGAGAGGCCACACTGATCATAACACTTCCTCAAAGCGGTGACATTTCAGTGTAAACACTTAATGCATATTGTAAGTTCTATCGTGTGGGGAAACTCAAGGAGCACTGTATTCATTGTCTTCTTTCCAGGCGATTAAGCCTCAAGCCAGCTGATGAACAAGACAGAAGCTTGTCAGTACTAACAGGATACTTAGAAGCCGTGATGACATCCATCTTGAGTTCTTTCAAGGACTGCCCAAGTTACATGCGCGTGGCGTTCAGAAATCTCGCAAGGCGCGTCTCAGACCACTTTGGAGACGAACCTGGATATGAGGTGAATTTGGGAATAATACTTGAGAATATCCGATCACCACACAAGACTGGATTAAAGAGAGGAAATACTAGAGTTATTGAGGAGCTACAGTAAAAATTACAGTATTTTTCATTCCTTTCCAACTTTAACCCATCCCTCGGGGCCGGGTTAAAGAATACAGGGTCTGGAAGGGTATTCTCGAGATCCGGGAGTTGACCGAAATATAGTGTGAGATTCGGGAAAACGCAAAATTTTCTCGACGGGATACGGGATTTGACCTCCACACGGGAAGCGGGATTCAAGAAAATTTTGGCATGGGATGAGGTGTTGGAAAAGAAAAAACGGTATTCGGGATAGAGGTGATGGAAGTTCGGGATGAGGAATCGTTGTGAAAAAAAAAAACGCGGGAAACAAACCCACAAAAACCACCCTTAAAAGACCTTGCCAGAGCAAAATTTCTTACGTTACACGATATCACTCCTTACTAGGGAACATGGATAACTTTTTTTGTTAAGAACGGACGAAGAGTCAACATTGCTATAAAACAATACAATTAACTTGTACTTTACTTTTTATCGTTGCTGTTTTCCAGGATTCAAAGTACACAGCTGTGAGTGGTTTCCTATTTCTTCGCTTTTATGCGCCAGCAATTCTGGGACCCAAGCTCTTCGGCTTAAGGAACAACCATGCTGACAAGAACGTCTCACGCACACTGACCATCTTGGCAAAGGTCGGTATTATTTGGTTGCAGGCAGTCAGAAAAATATTGCGCAAAAAAGGATAATCGAGTAAAAACTGTGAGGACATGAAAATGACTCTTACTCAACAAATTATGACTAACCACCCTTAGATACGCATTTTCTGAATTAAAAAACACTTTTTGAGTCTTAAAAAGCTAATTTCACACAGCTGTATCATCAGAATATGTACTATATTGTGAGAGCAGAGGAAAAAGGTCATGCCTGTATGCAAAAAACAGCCAGGGCTTTCCACAGTGTCGTCGGTGCGCAGCGTAAAAGCAAAGATCGCTCGTACATGCTCAAACTCCGAGTATCTGACTGTTTTTTTCTTTTTAATGTGAGAGGAAATATATGAAAATAAGAAGGACGCCGAAAAGGACTGCTCTTTTACTTCCTTTCATTTGGAGAATGTTGGCAATCAAGCACTTACAATCAAACATGTATCACGGTTTACTCTGTTGTTCACAGACAGTCCAAAAAATTGGGAACATCGAGTTCCCTCAGCATAGCGGGAAGGAGGAATGGATGGGACCATTGTACAAGTGGATTGGATTCTACACTGACGAAGTTAAAGACTTCCTTGACAGACTGGCTGATGTGGAAGATGAGCAAGGTAACCATAACAAGTAACTCCTTTACAATGTCTGCTCGATCAGAGTCATTACCAGACACGAAACAGGGAAAGTACAACAAAAAATAAACCAGACACCACCCTGACTGATCAGATTCTAATTGTCTGCCGTAGCTCGCCTTCTAGAGAATTTGGTCGTTACAGACAGTTAAATAAATCTCCGCTGAAACCAATTGCAGCCACTACTACATTGTAATTTCTTGAATTTTTCAACTAAGTCATTACTGATCGAAATACTGAGCACTCGCGAATGACATACTTGAAGAGATGGATTCTGTAACCGCCTAAGAGTCTTTCCGTGAGTTGCCTAATTATTGCTATACCTGATACTTGCATGATACCGAGATGGTGCATTCTTACCACTATCTGCGTGCGGCAAGATAGCTTACGGCAAGACACTACCCTACTTAAAAAAAAAATTAAATCTCTTTAGCACTTGAGGAAGATTATTAGCCTTTTTACTTCGGCGGAGCGCGAAGTAAAGGATTCGCGACGCTCAGGAACGTCTCAAAGTTGAATATTCTGACAAATCCCATAATTTCACAAATTGACACTTTACTCTCACCATGTATCATTTCTTACTATTCCCCTGCATTTACAATTAATTCCACAACCACGACGCCGAAGTGTACGCTCCTGAGCGTCTAGTTATGTTTAGTTCCAGGATGTGACCACAGACGAACCGTATTCAGTCACTCACTTATTATCAAGGAAGGCTTTGTCAAGAAGTGTCGCTATCTGGATTCCAGGCTGCCAAAACCATTCAAGTTCAAAAAGCGTTACTGTTGGTTAAGTACGGAAAACTTCCTTTACGCTAAAACGAATGATTCACAGGTAACTAAGCAGAAACACTGGTTCAGTTGCACACAAAAAAAATTCCTTGTCCCCAGGGCTTTTCCTTGAAATTGGCCGTATTGTGCAGAAAAGGCCTGGAAACGAGGTTGCAAAAAATGGGCAGAAAAATGAGATAGGATATGCTACTGAAATTGTTACTTTTTTGGGTTGCAGAATCGTAACCTTTTAAAACGGACTGAACTGAGTTATATAACGACCAAATAATTCATTGAATAACATGGAAAAATCTTTGCACAAAAAAGGGAGACCCGACAGTAGTTCTCTCAATATCAATGAGAATCATGGCATTCAAGAAAGAATGATCTCTTGTGGCATTCTAATTGATATTGGTCGTATCTGTGGTGGGGATGGGAAGTCGGCGTAATAACATAGTGTTTCAGAATAGGCTTCCTTTTCCTTGGGAAGTAAAGGGATTCCCTATGGCCATGATATTAATCAGGATTACGATTACAGTGGAACCTCGTTTTAACGAACCTCTATACAACGAAGTTCCTCGGAAAAACGAACGATATTCCACGCCCCAGTAATAGCCAGTAAAATATATGGAAAAGAACCTCGAAATAACAAAACCTCTTTATAGCAAACCTATTTTATAAGTCCCTTGACCCTCTGTTAATGATCGAGGTTCCACTGTTTGGTAATCATGATCGTCATTATGATTAATTCTGAAGGGAAACTATGGCTACTAACAACCAATTTGCTTTTCTTCATGCCGTTTCTCTTACAGACGAGACAATTTCTTCCAACGAAGAAAATTCTTGCTGTCGAGAGAGTTGACGAGTCAGCATTTCAGAAGCCGAATGTGTTTCAAGTAGTCAGCAAAGATTACGAAGACACTGTTCAAATCCTCTATCTTGCTGCACAGGTGGGCTTTTAGCTATCAACTGTGACTTTATCAATATCATGTTGACCCATATTAACAGGCAATAGAGTTTAAAGTCGTTTTGCCTTTGCCTGTAAATTATTACCGGACTAACATATTTGTTAAGGCGGTATTAAACGCGGGGGCCCCGATAAGGTAAAGCCGTTAAAAATGGTGTCAAAAACTATTCCAAACTTCCCAACCGGGTGGGGGGAGGGAGGCGGTTCTCAGTATGCTATTTACACTATTATCTTTATTGAGCCGAGGGGCGGGTTTGGGGGCATTAGGCACAGTCGTGAACTGAGGGCGGAAAGCTGATGTGAAAATCCAGTCGAAACTTGCCAAACGGGAAGATGGGACTGTAAACCTCATTGTAGTTCTATTCATCTCGAAAATGTTTCTTTTGGGCCCTGCTATTAAAGCGCTAGTGTTCCATTTGCTTTCCAACCGAAACAGCCTATGAATGGCAAATAACCGACGTTCTTGAATAAACTGTGGGTTTTCTGCTTTAACGCAGGATGTGAATGAAATGAATCAGTGGCTTTCGGCGATAAGAAAGACGACAATTTCCAATTCCAAGATGCTGAGCTATTTCCATCCGGGAGTGTTTCACAAAAATAAGTGGACATGTTGCAAACGAGCCCTCAGACAAGGTTAGTACACAAGGATTGTGCTTTACAGTGACCTGTGCATGAAATCAAATGTTTTTTGGAAGAGCCAACCACGAGTACCTCTGCTGCTGTACTAGTATGCTACTAATCTCTTGCTATCCTGTTTCATCAATCGCTCTCCTTAAATCTTGGCTCATTGCTCACATCATGAATGTCTACAGGAAAATGGGGAACACTCCCCAAAAAGCTGGCGAGGGTGCTTGTCTAAAAATTGTAAAATCACCCCTAAATGGTTCCAGAAATTTGGCATAATTCCTCCTAAGTCCTGAAAAATACTGCTTATCATGTTTTGACTCGAATATAATACCTAAAAGGTGCCTACATTAGGGAAGCAGCGGTCTCTAAGTCAGTGGCACCAATCAAACTCGTCCCCAGGACTCTTTTCAACGACGAGAACCCCGTCATTTTTAATTGCATGGAAAATGAGACGAAGTTATACAGCTTAGCATGAAGACTTTACAAAGAACTGCTTATGTGTCACTGGATGAGCATCATATACATAATGCGAATTTAAGGGCGTGGTGTCACTTTTACACCGAAAACGCGAATTTTTTGTAAAAAGCGTAATAACTGGGTCGAGAATGTTTACCACCAAGAACAGAAGGCAGCGTAGTGCTCAACCTACAGTGTTTTTTGGTTCTTCTTGATCAGAGAGTGAGGAAAAACATCTCAAAAAGCTTCAAAAGGTGTTTTTCGACAAAGCATCCAGGAGCGAATGGGTGACCTAAAGCATTATTTTTTTCATTCTTTCAGCTGGAGGTTGCCAATTGACGCATTCCCACGTGACTTTGAGTGATTGGCGGGATCCACTCGACCCAGATTCCGAAGCGCAGATGATTTTTACCCAGCTACTGCAGAGCCGCGAAGAGCTGAAGCAAAAATTCATAGAAACTAAAGAATTTCAAAAAGACTCTTTGGATCCCAACCAAAACGTCCTTGAAACAATGAATGATAAAAACGTTCCACTGGTGCCAGACCAGATGCCTTCTACCGGTGGTGAGAGAGCTATAGCAGCAAAACTAGTAGAAGTTATTGATGAGCTTGAGAAAGCTCACCGAACGCTTGAGGAAAAAGAGACCAAGAAATCGTAGGACTATCTACAAATCCATGTGTTGTTTCTAAATGGAGAATAAAATAAGAATTATTTACTAACTAGGATATTTGTGTAAAACTATCGTAAAATATTAGAGATGATATATTCGGGAGTATTTTTTCAAGTTTCCCTTTCACTAAGAAGCTCAGTGAAGCAAATTTGATATTGAACATATCAAATATTATTTAAGCTTGTTCAAATGTCACTACTTAGAGTTACAGGTGGGCTCCTAAAATACATATTTTACACTTAAGGCCTGGGCGCACATGTAACAACCATTTTAACTACTCGGTGATGTTGAAGACATCATATCAAAAGTTAGCTAGGTTATTTTATGCAGTTTTTACGATTGTGCACGGGCACACTTTAGCGATTACTCTTTCCGAGAAAATGTATGCGCAAAGAGAAGAAATGAAAGTTTCAATGTCAGTGGAAGACTTCCTTTATATTACTAAGCAGGAAAGGACTAGAAGGGATTCTGCAAAATTCAGTTCATTGAATCTTATTTTCAATGAATTTTGTTTGTCTTGAACTTGCTTTAGACTGTTTAAGTCTTCCCAGCGACATCTATTAGAAATGTTTGGGCGATTTTGCGGATCCCTCCCAATAGCGAATACCCTGGGTACCAGAGGTTTTTTCTCGCGTGCGACGAGGACCTTCGTCGGCCGAAGGCCGAAGACAAGAGCGGCGACGCCGCGAGAAAAACCGCGGGTGACTTTTTGAGACTTGACCAAAACCGGAAACTGCTCATGAAAAGTCTCTGACACCCAGGGTACATAGCGGAAGAAGAATGATAAACAGAGAAAATTAGATTGTAAAGATTAGCGTTAGATAAGATAAGATAAGATAAGATAAGATAAGTTTATTATATCTCTTCACGATATCTAAAAATATACATGTATTATCATAAGAGTACTAAAATCAGAAATATACTAAAAGCAGAGAACAACAAAATTAATTATTAAAACGAGATATTTAAAACAAGATATTTTGCCGCATGGCAACATCGCAAATTGGCTAGTAAATAATCGACATGTTCACTTTTATCCCTTATTCTATTGAAGATTTCTTCCGATAATTTCCAGAATCCATTAAGCGAATCAGGTTCAGATAACCTAAAGAGGTCAAGACCAGCCTTAGAGGCGTTGATACTTGTTGAATTTCGCTATAATTGCAGCTGGTTCCAATATTTGATAATTCTATTGTTAAAGAAGTCATGTGCTGATCTTAATCGATGATGAGAAGTGACATTAAGATTACGAGTTCGATACGCTGTATTCATCTCAAACATATTGTGACCATAGTTCACAAAACCGTTGATGATTTTGAAGGTCTCGATTAAGTCACCACGCATTCGACGTTCCAGTAACGTCGTTAATCTGAGACGCTGTAACTTTTAACGATAAGAGAGTAGGCCCATGCCCTCAATTATGACAATTATCCTGGTTTAAAACTGTCTTTGGCAGTCCTCAATTTCCATTATAATACCCCAATTTCCGTGTCTTGCGGTTGGGGCCCACACCTGCACTGCGTATTCCAAATGGTGTCTGACAAAAGCTTTGTAAAATGGTATTAGCAATTCTGGTTTCCTAGATACAACATCCCTAATGATCCAAGACGTCATTTGTTTTGCTTTTCCAATCATTCCTCGTATTTGTTCCTCCCAACAAAGGGTATCAACAGCTAAAACAACCACTCCCAGTTCTCTTTCCTTTTCAACCACTTTCAAGGGTGCATGACCCATCATGTAGTTCCTCTTAAGGCTGCCTTTACCAATATGCAAAACGCGGCACTTAGATTCATTAAATTTCATTTGCCACACGTAAGCCCATTGGGATAAGCAGTGTAAGTCCGACTGAATGGTTGCAGGAGATCGTGCGTTCCGTATTAGCTTTGAGTTGTCAGCAAATAGCGTGGTTTATTCGTTGTTATAGCAGGCATATCGTAAATAAACAAAAGAAACAGCAAGGGGCCCAAAACGGAATCCTGAGGCACTCCAGATAGTACGCGTTCCCACGTGGATAATTCATCGCTTGCACGGACTGCCATTGTTCTACCAGTAATGAAATTCCGAATAATGTTGTTGCATTGGCCGGTTATGGCATGCGCTTTTATCTTCAACAGGAGTCGCTCAAGTGGAACTTTATCGAATGCTTTCTGAAAGTCCTAGCAGACTAGGTCTACTACTTCCCCATCCTCTAAAATGGTATTGATCTCATGAACTGTTTCCAAAAGGTTAGAAAGACACGACTTGCCTCGGACAAAGCCATGTGGATGCGAGCTGAGGTTGTCACGTACGTAGGTGTAGAAATCTCTGTAAAGTAATCTCTCAAATGCTTTACATAAAATGCAAGTGAGAGAAATAGGTCTATAATTGCATGCATCGTTAAGTGGACCTTTCTTGTGTAAGGCAGTGACTATTAGGCGCTTCCATGGGTTGGGGCTGCAGCATTTACTCGCGACAGCATGAAAGAGAACTGTAACGGCGTTGACAAAGTTTTCATTTTCAGCTAGAGTTTTTATTATCATAGGATGTAGACTACCGGGTCCGACCGCTTCATGGATGTTCAGTGAGTTCAGCTGTTGAATGACGTCTTCCCTTTCTGCAGTGAATTCGTTTATTTGTTCCGCCATATTTTCAAGAACACAGTTTTCATTTAAAGCTTTCTCTCTGGTAAAAACGGAAGCAAACGACTCCACTAGTAAATCAGCAGTCTCCTTATGGCAAGTAGCAGTTTGTCCATTAGCTTTTCGCAAGCAAGATACTGTTTTATTTTACTTCTTTTCGTTCCTTAGATACGCAAAAAATCTGCTTGGATTTTGTCTCACATTTTTGGCAAATCTTCTTTGAGTTTCCGATCAACAAGTTTATATTTATTTTCTAGTGTAGAGATAATGAGATGGATGCGTAAAATAATAAAATGCTATTAATGACGTTAATATATACTTTTATATTACAAAATAAAAGAGAATCATTACAGTATCGGATTATGTGTATATCTAGTTACAGATGTTTTATTTTTGCGTTTTTGGTCAACGAGTCTTAATAAAAAGGGGTTTTTTTGGATTGTGGGTGTTTCTGTTTTCGATTTTGCTATGTAATGTAATCGGGAGCAGAGTTGATTAGTGTTGTCAGACTTATTTTTTATTCCTCAGTTCGCGTCTTCTCACGACAAAACTCAGTCTAACTTCACTACAGACCTATTTCCTATGGATCCAACCACAAACGTGTTTCATACAAAGCTGATTCGGGCCACCCGCAGGGCTGAAATGTTTTCACGATTCCATCTAATATGACCCTTTCCTCGCCGCATGTTTAGAAAAATTCAAAATTTCACATTTGCTCTTCGCTACGTTTCGCTTCTCGGGCAAATATATATTTTTCGGACAATCTCTCAGCCGCGGGCATTATCCTCCGATATACCAGCCACTAGCCTGAGTATCAGGCGTTTCTGAGGGAAAAGGGCCAACCAGCCACCGGAAGGGGTTTATTTATTTAATATAGTGCAAGGTGCTTTACCGCTTCGAAAAAATTCAAAGGGAAGGCGACTAAATAGACGCCCAGGATGATATTCCCGGTATATTTGATGGGGGACGCCAAGAAATCACAGCGAGAGTAACAGGAACGTCAAAATAGGCTTAGTAAAAATAACCTGACAATCTACACGTGCATAACGCTTTTCTGTATATTTATTTGCCATCCCTGTACAACTAAGACGTGAAATAACCAAATGTTAAGTTTCTTGGGAACCTGAACGGAAAGTCGAGAAATTTTATTGTATCTCTCCAAGCAAATTTGCTTATCAAAGAATATGTTGTGTGTGGACATGATGGTGGACGAAAATGTTTGGTCGTTCGGCCGAAGGGTGTGGCAAGGGTGTGGATTTTACCGAACACAACCAAGAGAGGATGATGGGATTCTTCCGTCTGAATATGATTCGCAAACAGTGCATCTTTCACTATCTGTTTCACAATGGAATCTCTCTTGAGAAACCTTAAAGAACGCGTCACATGTCCGATTTGTTTGGATACCTACACCGAACCCAAGACAATCACCTGTCTCCACACATTTTGCTGCGAATGCTTGAAGAGACACGCTCTGACAACTCAGCGAGAAGGAAAGTTTCGCTGCCCCGAGTGCCAGGCACAAGTTGGCGTCCCTGAACGCTTCGATCAATTACCGACCGGTTTTCTGCAGAATAGTCTGTTAGGACTTCTCGCTGTTCAACAAAGTGGCGATGGAAGTGAGATCAGTTGTGGCAACTGTAGAAAAAAGAGTGTTGAGACAAGTTTCTGTTTCGACTGCGGAAAGTTCTTTTGCCCTGACTGTATGAATGCACATGAACTACTCGGAAACACTGCTTTTGAAGGCCACAAAGTGAGACGAACCAAGCACTTTCAAGTTGAAGACTACGAAGCTTTATTAAAACGTCAATCGTTTTGCTCTCAACAGTATCACGAGCGAGAGGTAACGAGGTTTTTTTGCCTCGAGTGTCAAACTTGCGTCTGTCAGGTTTGCGTGGTCACGGATCACAGGAATCATGCTGTGGATCCACTTGACAAAGCAGCTGATCACGAAAAAGCTAAAATTGTGGCAGGAACCGAGCTGATGAAAGAAAAGCGAAAAATTTGCGGTGACGTGTTCCGTGAAATTGAGCAAACAATTCGCAGTCTGGATACTAACATTTCCATCGCCAAACGAGAAATTTCCCAAGCAGTCGAGTTAATCATCGCGAAGACTCGAGAACGCGAGCGTGAGGCTCTTGAGACTCTCGAGAACATGCGCACGTCAAAAACCGAGAAATTGAATACTGTGAAAACACAACTGCAGTCGCTGGGCAAGCAAATCAACCAAGCAATCGAGTTTGCAGAAAATCTGGTTCAAAGAAGCTCAAGTTCAGATATCTTGCAAAGCAAGGAGTCGTTGGAAAGGCGATTTGAAAATCTTAGCCGCGAGAGCCCGATTCCAACGCTTCCGGTTTCTTCATTTGTGAAGTTTCTCTCCACTTTTGAACACGAAAATGTGACCCTCGGTTTTACAGCAACCACTGAACCAGTCGTAGAAGGGTTAGAACAAGAGTTCCAAGCTGGTGTTGAAACAGCATTATTCGTTTATCCAAAACTGACAAGAGAAGCAGGGCACATTTCCCTTGATGTTGACATAAAACCCACCAACAATATTGCAAGTTTCCTGGTTTCTGAAAAAGAAGAGGGGACTTTCCAGGTCAGGTTCACACCTAAGGTGCCTGGAAGTTACAGCATTCAATTAGCTGTAAACATTGGCACTCTCAGCCTGAAGACTTTCACTAGGAATGTTCTAGTCAGGGAACGGCGACTTGAAGTTGTTGGAGAGTTGGATTTGAATGGAGAACTTCTTGCCCATCCAAGAGGGATTGCTGTGAACAGCGAAGGGCTGATCGCTGTTACTGACTGCGATGGTGATTGTATCTGGATATTCAATAAGGAAGGAAATTACCTACGAAAAATTGGAGATAATATTGAATCAATTGCCTTTCCATCTGGCATAACGTTTATCAATGACAGTGAGATCCTAGTAACAGAGGAGTTAAATTGTTCCATTGAGCAGTTTAATGTACACACTGGAAAGAAAGTGAAATCTTTTGGCAGGAGAGGAGAAAAAGTGGGTGAGTTCCAAAATCCAATGGGTGTTTGTATGGATAGTCAAGGACGTATTATCATATCTGATTTCAACAACAACAGAATACAGGTTTTTACAAAAGAGTATGAACCATTATTTAGATTTGGGGCAGAAGGAGATGGTCCACGATCCCTCGATGGTCCCTCTGCATGTGTTTTTAGCCAAAATACATTCATTGTTACTGAACCTCGGAACCACTGCTTAAAAATCTTTGATGGTACAGGGAACTTTCTTGGTAAGATTGGAGACAAAGGTGAAGGTGACGGGCAGCTGAATTGGCCCAGGGATTTGTGCATTGAAAAAAGTGGCAATCATAACAACATTCTTGTGTGTGACTGCGAAAATAAAAGGATTGTACAATTTACAGTGGAAGGTTCATACACTGGAAAAACTGTCACCAAACTACAAAGTCCAACTGGTATAGCTACAACTCCAGATGGAAAGATTTTAGTATCCGATTTAAAAGAGAAAAAAATATACATGCTCAAGTAGAAAAGAAAACAAAAAAGAAGAGGTTTTTCTGATTACACCACATGCAAAACGACCATTTTGAACTTTGAAAATGAAAAGCTATTTCAGTAAGAAACGAAAAGAAAGAACCAGTAATATTAATAACTTCAACCATTAATATTATTGTTAAGAGGCACTGAATGTCAGTAATGATAAGGGGTGAATTCAAAAAAGGGGGGATGGGAGTGGGCAGGGGTATTTTGCAGAATACAGAATACCATTGTTCTCAGAGGGTTAGAAAACAATGCTAAATTGTTGTCTTGCCTCATTTGCAAATTGAGAACAATGTCATTCTGCATTCTGCAAAATACCCCTGCCCGGTGGGGACTGAACACTGGCCAGTTATATAGCTACTATTCATTTTACCGCGATTCGTTAAATACAGTGAAACCTGTATTAAGCGGACACCCTCTTTTAAGTGGACAGTAGCCGAAGTCCCCAAATTTATTTCCCTTATTTACTTTAAATGAACACCCTCTATTAAGCGGACAGTAGCCAAAGTCCCCAAATTTTATTGTTAGCAACCTGTATTAAACGGACATTTGTAATTAAATTCCACCACCCAACATGCCAGACACCGGAAATGTGATACCCTGCAAGGAGAGGCCCTTAGATCTTCCTAGATAAGTCGGGGGTCCCTTCCTCTTCCCGACTTATCTAGGAAGATCGAAGGGCCTCTGCTCGCAGGGTAGAAATGCGAAAGATTGCCACCCACAAATTTTAATATTTTTACTTGAAAAAACGTGATTTGACGAACTTTTTTGATTAGTTTCACAGTACAGTGTTGCTTTCTATTTCGTTTTGTTTGTATAGAGCTTGTTTCACTCATCTGACTTCTTCAAATTTGAGTTGCAATCTATGTTTATGGTACTATCATCAATAAGTCCCCTTTAATAACGAAATTAATGCAAACGTATATCGTCATAGTCTCTGGGAGTATTCTAAACGTTTCCACTGTTCATTTGAATGGCATTTGACACCTCATATGACGTTATCTATCGAAACCTGTATTAGGCGGACACCCTGTATTAAGCGCACACTACAGCATTCCCCGAGGGTGTCCACTTAATACAGGTTTCACTGTATAATACAAAATTTCACAGAAAAAGTGGGGGCTCCAGTCCTTTCAACCACCCCAAAATCCACCTGTGATGGTTAGCTGTTAATTGATTTCCTTTACAGAGTGTTAACACGTGCTTTTGTGCTAGACATAATTTTAAAAAGTAATGAATAGCATAGCAAATTAAGTTCAAGCAGTGAGGCACGAGTCAGTAGTGTAAAAAAGAGTCTGTGACATTGACCTTTCAAACAACTTCCCACAAATCTTAACAATGCCTGCAAGAGAGGGATTAGAGTAGGAAACTTCTGTACTTCAAACAAAATGCCTCTTTTGCTGGTTTCCCAACTGAACCAGCTTCATCGGCAAATCATAGGAATTTAGTTTCTGATTATGTTGCACACCAGACTCGATTTCTGCTGCTCTGTTCGTGTCAGGTCCAAACTTGTCTGCCCCAAGATGGAGTGCAGTCTCATTTCCCAAAAAGTGGCTGGCAATCAAGCCAGGGCACTCACTTTAACTTTGATCATTCACAGTAACAAAATGTTGTTGATTTCCAATAACCCTTTCGTTTGACTCCTCCATAAATGTTGGAGTCATTTAAGAAAATATGGGGGTTACTTGATACAATGTTCATGAAGTAACAGAAAAGTGTAAATTCAAACTGAGGGCAAGATAACACAAATAGAACTGAAAGACAAAACAAAACAGTAAAATCCTCTAAGTTCCAGGAAGTTTGGATGGCAGAAATTAAAATTCTGCAGATCATTTTTGGGCTCTAAACTGGAGTCAAACTGACTCCCCACACAATTTTTTTAAGTCACAAACAAATTCTCGTTGAAAGACATGCCAGATTTGGGGTACAGTATTTGTAAACACTTGTTCCCAAATAAAATCTATCAAGATGTTCATGTAGCTGAGCTAACTGTCAAATCAATAATGACACAGAGCAGTTTTCAAATGAATAATACACAACTGAAGAAAGAAGTAACTCTGCCAAATATCAGCAGACAATGACAATCCAATGAACTCTTCAGCATTTAAAGCACATGTACGCATGCAAGAAAATCATAATAGTTGGCTTTCTTTACTTCTCATTGGTTAAATTTTCTTTTGGAAGAATGGAGCTTATTATTACGTCAAAAGTGAACAAATAATCGTAACTGGACTGCTAGCCTTTAGGGATACATTTTTGAAAGGTACAGAATGGCTCATGCTAGCAGCATATTCTAACCAGAAAATACATATCAAACAAAAGAGGATTATATCTAAGAGTATGAGTGGTTTGCTGTCTTTATTAAAGTCTCCCCTTAGGAATCATTGCCATGCCTTTTAAATCTGCAGTGTTCCACTTGTACAATCCCTCCTCTTTGTACTGAAACTAAACATGACATTCTTAACAGTTCTTTCTTTTCTTAACGTTTTTGACATTTTCCAAACAAAGCGCTATACAACTTAACTTATTTACATAGAACAAGGCACACTATACATATGTTTTATTTACAAGTGTTGTCCTGGTGGGTTTTTGAGGCTTTTCAATACACAGGGGCAGTGTTGGCCAAACGTCGCATTCGCCTGAAATAGAAATAAAGAAAGCAACATGTCACAGTTGATAATAAAGTCCTTGTCCTATAATATAAGAGACCATACTAGCATCAAAATCCATATCCCCCATAATGATCCTGCATGTAATTCTTATGATGTTTATACTACTACATGAGAAATTTCTGCAATTTGATTGGCTTAGAGCAGTGGTATTTCAGCTTAATTTGAAATACCTACATGTGAAAATTACAAACCTTTTGCGGGTAGTAGTATAAACAAATAATAGCATCATTTGTACATGATATTTGGCATAAATACCACTCGTGATATTTCAAAATTGTCTCAAATTACGTATAACAATTTTGAAATATCACTTGTGGTATTTATGCCAAATATCGCTACAAATCATGCTATTACCTATACTAATGGTTAGAAATTATTATAAATGCCTTAGTATTTAGTAAATTATTCTATTGCTCTTCTGTTTGGAGCAATACTACTCAAACTAATCTGGACAGGCTCCAAGCAGTACAGAATTTCGCTTGTCGTATTTTGAGCGGCGCTAAAAAATTCGATCACATAACTCCTTTGCTAAAAGACTTGCGCTGGCTACCAATCAGGCAACAACTTTATTTTCGTTTTGCTGTTCTGGTTTTTAAGTGCATGACGAGTTGTGCTTCGGAGTATTTGACATCAAAGCTCGTTGGAAGATCCGCCGTCTCGACAAGGAATACGAGAAATTCTCAACTTTTGAACATACCACTCTTCCGCACTGCCAGCGGCCAAAGGACCTTTCAATATAGAGCAACCTCTCTCTGGAATGAGTTGCAGCCTGCGCTCAAACTTAGCCCATCCGTGACGGAATTCAAGTGTTTACTCAGGCAAAAGCTTCTTAATGACTGCTTTATTTAATTAACTTAATTAATTTTATTGACCTTTGTCTTCTTTTATCATTGTTATATTCTTATTGTCATGTACTTGGTTTATAATTTTGTAATGTAAAATTGACTCTGAAAAGCCCCGTGGGGACGAGCCAATAAAGTATGTATGTATGTATGTAAATGAAGACAGCAAAAGTTGAGTGATAAATTCCCATTATTCTCATATGACCTTGTGATTAACTTGGCAATGATATATTATAAACAGAGATTAGAAGCTGGTCGCTCTTAGGGCTAGACTCACCAGAGGGGAGAGAGAATTTTGTACAAAGTTTCTTCTTTAAGGAAAACAAAGCAGCAGTGCCTGAGTCTCAATCTTATCTCAGTCTTTAACAGTTTGTTATACAGTGGAAGCTCTTGTGAGCAGACTCCCTCGGGACGTGAGAAAGGTGTCCATAACTGGGGCTGGCCACTTATGGAGGTTTAAAAATACAGAGTTTGTATGGGAGTTGAAAAAAAAAACGGTGTTTTGTGAAGGCGGCCATAAGTAGAGCTGTCCGCTAAGAGAGTGCCCACTGTGAGAGTTTCCACTGTACATCCATTACAAACTATAATAGCAAAGCTATTGTTGTTTCATCCTTGCCTGGCTCATTAGTTTAGATTTAAAATACAAATTAGTGAAAAACAATGACGAAGTGAAGAAGCAGCAACAATGTCAAATAGCAACATTCCAAATGGATCTACAATGCAAAACAATGAGTAACTTACTTATAGCATGGTGAAGCAAAGATCAGGGAGTACATAGACACCTCTGACATAGTGCTACGAGAAGAGTTAGTTTTATTGCTTGTCACTGATCTCCAGTAAGATAGAGAAGGTGCAAAAAAGGTAAGATTTTGATCTTTAAAAGAAATATCAGAAGGAGTACAAACCTGGTATTCCTATCCTGGTCACGCAACTTCTTTTCCATCTCAGCATCTGTTAATGTCTCAAGATATGGACCCCAGTTATCTACATCTGTGCCTGATCTAATGGGTGACTCAATAGTTGGCAATGGTGCCTCACTGAAGGCATATGTTTTAGAGTGCCAACTTAACTGACCACGAATGCTATAAGCAATGGCTGTGGCAAACTCGCCACCAAGACCCAGATCAGAGCAAAGGCTGAGTGCAAACTGTTCAGGCGTGTTTTGAGGTTCTGACAAATCCCACTCAAACTGATCCATCAATGAAATGTTACCAACATGGATGTTTAGCTGTGGATGAAAATTACCAAAAAATCAAAATACAGTCTTAGGGAATGCCTTACTGACCACTTAATACAAGATGACCATTTAATACAGGTTAAAGAAACCCACAAGTTATTCAAGAAAATGAAGATGGTCCAAGAGCAAAAATCTATCCCATGACAAAATTACCTCAAAGTATCTCTACCTCTTTTTGTGCCAAAAGAAAGGAAGTAAGAGACCATTTTAATGCCAACATACACCCAACCAAAATGAGACACTCAAATAGACCTTTTTCACAATACACCCCATCATTGTATGCAGTGGGATAAAAGCCATGCCACATGGTTTCTCAGGGAACAAACAAGTGGTAAAATTCCAAAAAATAAAAGAAATCGTTGTTGAGTTTGTATATTTTAGACAACAGAACATGGAGAACTTTTCATCTTAAAGAAGTAAATTATGGTTGTGTAAGTGATCATATTGTTTCTTTTTGGACACAGCAGTGACCATAGATGTCTTCACAATGCACAATAATGCAGTAAAACTTGTCGCAACTTGAGCTGTACATTTTGCATGACTAACATCATTGTCTCATTTTGAGAGAATAAACAAACCCTGCCATGATTGCAAGTATTGGCAAATTTTATCACATTGTTTTCCCCCTGAAATACCAGGTGACATCACTTTTATCCCATCAATCCTAATGCACATGCGAAGGTGGTGGGTATCTTGAAGATAAGAGCATTATATATGATTAATCAGTTTTGAGAAGTTTAGTTTAATTACTGAATCGTGTTGACTCTGCACCTTGATAATAACTCTCTGATCTGTCTGTTGATCAAGCATTATTTCAGAATCTGTATCAAACTGTTTTATCTGCTGCCTAATAGCCTGCACTACAGCAGGTACAAATGATGCTGGTGGCAGATCTAGGTCATCACACAGCACTTCAGCAAACACCTCTGGAGAGATTAATGTCTCTGCAAAAAAAGGCAAACCAAAATTAACCCCTAATCTTCAGTGGCTTTAAACCAAAAAATAACAAACAAAACAGACAAACAAACAACATAAGCTAAAAGCTAAAACAACCAGTTTATTATTTTTGTTTTAATTTGATCTTCCTTACCATTTTCCAGAGCAAAGGAACTCAAGAACCTTCCTTTGTGCAATGAATATTAATGCTTCAATGGTTAAAATAAATTCAAGAAGATTCCCAAATCTGCCAAATCTGACAGATGGTACTTTGATTTATTATCTGAGCACAAAAAAGACTGAATCTAGGACTTGTCTCGTTGCACTGATACATACCGGTAGGTGGACAGTAAAATACTGCTTTATAGGTTGATAATGAAATAATATTATTAGACACTATGTTCAATAAATCTGTTCTCCCAGAAATCAATGCACAAGGCTGTGTTACTGAAATATTAAGCGTTCTTGTTTAATTTATCAAATAAAATATCCTTCATCTCCTACTTTACCAGCAACCTCGTTCCCAAAGAATGTGGGATGGGTGGACTGTAATAAGTCAAGCTACATTTATTTCAAGTAATGTTCACATGCTGATACATAAATGTCTGCTTTCAAATATCAAAAGTAAATAGCATAAGCGCACACACCATTTTTGTTCCATGTGAATGTGTCTCTGAGTTTTTGTCCATCAATATCAATGTCCAACCTGATGGGGACTAACACTTCAGGCTGACTAGCAGCTTCATGGATAGCTGCCATGTCATGATCATCATAACTGAAACATTTAAAACATATATAAATAAGAGTTGTTATTAGTACAACTTGCATAGACCACCTCAGCTTGTATGTTTTGTTTTTTTCAATGTACGTCTCAAGGGAATTTGCTCTTGATCTTTTCAAGACATATGTGAATATAACTACATTTGAAAGAAAGAGTTCTCTTGAGTATTATCTCATGATCTAAAGTTGGAAAACAATACATATAAGCTGAAGAGGTGTACTCCGGTTAGCTTTTAGGGACATGCTTAATAGACTAGTTTACAGTTACAGGTGGAAATGAGGCTAGAGTTGACCTTGCCTTGGTACAATCCTTCTTGTTTTATTATCTAAGTCATGTTTTTCTTATACTATTATTTTTTAAGCATAATTTTTTCCATCAGAAAAGGAGGGAGGCTTGTTTCAAAACATGATCGACCTCACCCTCACATTCACTCAAAGGCTAGGACACTAAGCCCACAACTGTAAAATGGCCTATTCTGAGAAATGCACCTATCCATATTATGAAATACTGATGTGAGTTCCATCATGAATGAGGCAAGTCAACAAACAAGAAAAATACATCAATCATATACTATTTGGCTTGATACGACAGAAAAATCTACTGAATACTGATGCCAAGGGTACAAAGCAAAATGCCCACATTAAAGAGGTCTCCTTTTTGAAGGAGCACGGTTGCTTAAAGTTCACCATCTTTAGGACCTAAAGAAAGTTGTAGATTATAGAGTGACAAGAGACCTGGTACCAAGAGAACTGTTTGTAATCAGAGTCTCTCTTTTTCTGTGTCTTATGCCAAAGAATTTGATTAACATGCCATGCAGGGCTGTGCTCTAGTAGCTCCCATAGATTCCTGGTATCTTACTGTTTTCTTGTGTGATTAGGGAATCTTTGCTTTTTCAGAGCTCATATGTTGGTTACCCTGGATTTCACAGATTCCAGCACTGGGCTCTCTTCAATTTTTCTTAGAGTATAGCTTTGCATTGTTATCACAAAACTACCAAACAATGAAAAATATTCTTGTATGGTTTAGAATCCCATTCAGCTTACAAAGAAAATAATAGTGTCCACTGAGCAAGTGAAGCTTTTTGGGGAATTCAAATTTACAGAACAACTGTAATCAGTACTCATCAAAATTTTTGGGGGGCTAATTGAAATGAATTTTGGTCTAGTACATGCTAGCTACAGCTTGCCCAAATAACAAGCTGTAAAATGACTTTCTTTGCACTCTGCCATTGCATGTAACAACCTCAAAGCCCAGCAACACGTAAATCATACATTACATGGTGTTTTAAAAAGCAACTTGGCTTGGAGTTGGTTTAACTGCAGAATACTCTGCCATAATGACTACTTCCTGCATAGCCAGCGACATGGTATGTCGAAATTAATAACAATAACAATAAACATAGGTCTTTTTTTAAGTGGCAAGGCAATACTCCGTATCCTAAAACATCGTCTTAAGTACCAGTAGATTACCATGTAGGGAAGGTCTTAATCCTTTTTTGTCCCATGCGATTCCTGTTCACAGTTGTAGAACAAGGTACTGCATCCAAGTGAAAAGAATTACTAGAAAATAAAGTTTGTGGTGCCCATGCTGGCTGGCTGCTACGTTTTGCTTTACTACTTGCGGCCCGGGCTGCTGCATCGGGTGTTTCCGTAGAAACTTTATATTTCTCGTCCTTTCCTTCCAGGATTTCCTCCACCTCGGAAGATTTTAACAAGGTTACATTTGTGGCGATGCTACTATGTCCAAGCCCTAGTTGAACGATTTGCTTTCGTTCGTCCAAAGTGGCGAGTCTTCGCCATAACGAAGGGTATTTTTTGTATAAAGAGCCTCTAAACATTCGCAGGAAGTTTCCAACTTCGGATCCTATCATGTATGAGTCGCCATCTCCGAGCTGAAAAGAAGCTGGTTTTTGACCGTACGTTCGGACCGCCATCTTGCCTTTCATTCAATCACGTTTACCCACAGTTCTTGGCAAGCTGACTAATCGTTTCCAGGCTCGCGCGACTCGCGCCAAAAAACTTTGCGTCTTTCAAAAACATGCAAAAAACAGAGTCCGAAAGACGGACTGTAAAGAGTTTAAATAATGCAACGCCAAACTATCGCTAATTCTTGAGAAATGAAATAAACTATTTGAGTAAAAATGAGTGAAAGTTTGACTCAACTTAATCAGAACATCAAGAAATCATGCTTTTTGCAAATTAGTAAAGTTGGCCAAAACCGTCAGAATTAAATTTAAAAAAACCTACAAACCAGAGCTAAAACAGGTTTAAAGTGACTGTTGTTCATAGGTGATGTAAATGTAGCGGGTAATAGTAAAATTCTCTGGAGAGAAATTGAGTCGTTTTCGTTTTTCTGTTCACTGAATTAATCTCAAGTTTATAGTAAAAAGGAGAAGAAAATCCCCATAGTGAAATTCACGGGAGCAAATGGGGTATTAAACATTGATTTTTTTACTTTTCACTGAAAGCGATCAACTTTTCAGAGTGAGAAAGCCTTGGTAAAATAGTTTGTTCAAAGTGAACTGTTGACAAATGGGTTCAATATGGTGAAACCGACAAACTTGGTCAGTTTGCCAATGGCTTCCGCAGACACGCGGGTCAGTCTATTTTGGGTTTTATGCATCAAACGTATCATGTCGGTGTTAGTAACTTAGCTTTAAATTCAACATTTATTCAGTGCATCTTGAACAACTAGTGATGAGATAAAATGAAACGAGTTATGAGCCATTTGGAGGAAATTGCAGTAACGGTGAAGAAACTGCCTACATGTGATTCGTGGAAATCTTGCGATTTATCGCACAAACATTTAAGCTTAACAGTTTATACACAAGCTTATAGCTTGTTTCATGGCTAAAAAAATAATTCTTGGCATTGTTTTCCTACACAAAAGAGTAAAACGATGGGTAGTTTTTAACTTTCACAATTTACAGTGGAAGTTAAATAAGATTACCCTCTTACAAGATTTTATATTCAAATTTTGTTGAAAGTTTGTCCGCAAAAAAAATACAAAGCTTTAGGATGAAAGATTATTTTACCTCAAGCTTGGAAGGATCTTTTTCCTCAGTTCTTCTCGAGCCCTCCAACTAAACTTGCTGCAAAATTTAGTGCATGCCTTCGTCTGATAAGAAACCGCATTAAGATGCTGAACGGATGAGTTGAGAATATCCCTTGAGCAGTTTGCAGGAAAATGAACTGGTCCTGTGAAGTTTGGTCGCCTACAGCGCGGAGAAAAATCCTTCAACCCCCGATCACCGGCAGTCACGGGAGAGCAGGGAAGCTTTTCCATGAACTTCTCCCCAAAACCTTTAAAAATTTTCTCAATTTCTCCTTCCTTCACAAGCATTATGTTTGAGTTGGACATGCTGTTGTAACCCACATTCAACGACAACAAAATTCTTCGTTCTTCAATAGTCGGTGGACGGCGCCAGAGCGAAGGGAATTTCTTGTACAAAGCTCCTTTCATCAGGCCCATTTGATGGCCAACTTCACTACCGATCATGTAAAACTCGCCTCCTGCTCTTAACTGAAAAATAGCTGGGTTTCGCCTTTTCACTTGGAGAGTTTCGTTCGCCATTTTTACTCCACGCTCCTCGTGTGATTCAAAGCCAGTCAAATGATCAAAACTTTCGCGCGAGGTTTTACCGTGGGAAACACGATATTTAGTGACTTTGGTTGATGTTCTTATTTCTTGGAGTTGAACACGTACTGAATCAAAAATATTTGGAGATGTATAGAATAAGGCTTCTATGCTTCAAAAATAAAACAGAATGAATTTTTCTGCAAAATAAT